AAGGATAGGCTATAAAAATGAAGTGGTGTGAATGGGAGGGGCATAGCCATACAAATGTTGTGCTGGGTATTTAACTGTCAGTTCCATGTACTGAGATTTATATCCACAGAACTGATTAAAATTCAACTTCTAGGAACTGGTCATCTTTTAAGCAGGTTGTGGTCTGAAGGTGCATAAGGGCAATAACTTTACAGAATTGTAAACATGGTTTTACTAGTAACATCTGTTGTGCTTTCTTTCTTCCTGCCCCATAGTGGGCTATTCTGAGCTGACACCAAGGATATTGTCGTGAGTTAAAAGTAGCTCTCTGGAGACCAGGCCTTTCTGTGCTTACAGTCTCTTACTCTAAAAGTTCCCAGGAGAAGCGCTTGACACACTAACTGTTTGACAGAAGGACAAGGCAAGATGACAGCTTGGGACGCCTATGTCCATCAGAAGCCTCAGTCTGTATCCCACTAGCAGAGGGTATTTAAAGATCAGACACATAAATAATAGCATTCACACACATTTGGTTACAATGCTTAATAGCCGTATCAGGAATCAAGAGAAAAACAATGCATCCTTTATAGTATTTAAAGGAATTAAAACTGCTAGTTAGAACATTTTTGCTTTTTGTCTGTCTTTTTTTTTTTTTGGACGTGGACTGTACTAATGCCAAACTGTCAATATTTTAAAAGCAAAAACAATGTTTCAGTTTCCCACTGGTTGTAAGCTCTGAAGATTTTCTTTCCAAAATGGTTTAGCCCATTTCTTTTATTTTAATAGTTTGATGCATAGGAAAAGGGTTAACTGCATAACTCAATCACACAATATCTTAGATTACAGATAGCCAGCAAGAAAGGTTCTGCAGTGTGGTAATAACTACCACTGCATCGTGGGAACAGGCTGTGGCAGACAATGATGGAATTGACAATGGTGCATACAAAGGCCACCTTTGGGAGAAACCATATCTCACAGCATGCTGGGAAAAGTGAGAAATAGTAGCAGATGCTGTCAGGACTATAAGCAACAGATGCCTCCTGGCCAGTGTTCAGCCAGTACAACCAGATCACACCATTCATAAGCAGAGAACATTTTTCTCCCTCCCTTTGTAGGAGGGAGGTAGCAAATACAAATATTGCAGAGGAATTAAAAACAGCAGATGGTGGCAGCAGGATTTGATGAGATCAGGGTCAGGTATGGGTATACATTTGGTAGTGGCATTAATCATTCTTTCCCTTTGGGAATTGAAAGTTCAGGCCTCTAACACAGCATTAAATCGACCACCTTCAGGTTATGTTTTACTTACTCAGTCACCCTCAACACTCCCCCTCCCTCCCACTTTAGCAACTGGGCCACATCGATCCTGTGTGATTCAACATTTAAGTAAATTTCAAAGAACATATGTTAAATATTTTGTTGATTTGATTTATGTTTAAATAATTAATAAGCTAGCCAATCCCAAACAGGACATTTTGAAAGTCTCATATTCAAATGACTGAATTATCTTTTACACTCTTGTGCCAAGGCGTTTGTTTTCACTTACACATGCTCTGTTTACTGTTGACTTGAGCATATTTGGTCACCTTTCATCTTCCATCTATTCAGTTTAGGACATTTAGCTTATAGTTTCCATCTTTATGACATCCTCAGGGCTCAGGAGGAAATGCTGATGTAAATAATGCAGCTCCCTTAAAGGCCAGAATGACCTCTCTTATGTACACTGCACAGTGCATTTGGTTTAATTCAATAAAACCATTAAGGAATGGAATTGAACAATATGCTTAAGAAAGTAATGTAGACTCCTTTTCAGGGTGGATTTTGTGCTTGTTTGGGAGATTAATTTTGTATTGAGTGGATCCAAAAGTTTGGACTGAATTAAATAAAGCTCCTTTTGGGTGAGAAATGTCAAAGTATCCTATCTCATTTTTCAAAAACAAAAAGTATGTTCTCATAGCCGTTTCCAAAACATCAGCATATTTTGTGCAAGGGATTAGTGTAAAATGTTTCATAAACTGATCCTAGAAAGGTAGCATTGCCTGGTGGTTAGAACACTATGGGAAGAAAATTAGGAGGCCGTGGTTTTAGTTTTGGTTGCAGCACTGACCTTGGAGGAGTTATTCACCCCATGACTCTATTTCCACATCTGTAGAAAGAGTTATTCATTTTTATCTCAAGGGATTATTGTGAGGCATCAACAAAATAGAGCTAAATTATAGTCTTTGATTGGGGGCAGACTGCCTGCAATCTTTCAGTTACCGTATTTCTCACATACATGCACTTTTCCCTAAAACTAGCTTGTGGAAATTGTAGTGCACATTATATGCAAGAAATACAGTAAGAGCAGTTTCTGTTGGTTAACAAGCAAAAGTGAAAGTAAAATCTGGATATGACTCATAGGTCAGGTACAGACATTACACATAAACCGGTCTATCTAAGTGATCAGAAATTGATCTAAACCCATAAAAGGATAGAAGTTCAGCGCATGTAAACCAGTCTAAAAATGGCAGAACCCAATCTAAGACCTGGATTGATGTGTCCTGATACCTCATTGATTTAGATTAGACTGATGAATTGAATTTCTGTACCAGATCTCCTATCACAGGGGTGGGCAATTATTTCGGCTAGAGGGCCACTTAACAAATAAACTGGGTCCACAGCTGAGTGTTGGGGCTCCTAGTGAACTACAGCTTTGGCAGGGTTCTGAAAGGAGGGGGAGGGAGTGAAGAAAGGAAGGGGAGGGAGGGAAAGAGCAGGAGAGAAATGGAGAGAAAGACAGAGAGAGACACTGCTGCTCGCCTGGCATGGCAGCAGCTCCTACCTGAGTCCATGGCTGATGCTGCTGGCAGGTTCTGGGTTGGGGCTCTGGGTGGGAGCTTCCATCACGCTGGGAGGGTGGTGGATCAGCAGTGGATACCATCAGCAGGTTTGTGTCTGGGCTTCTGAACCTACCCATGGTGTTCACAGCTGATGCTGCTGGCAGCCTGCTGCAGTGGAAGCCTCACCCAGCTCCATAGCTGGTGCTGGATGCTCCCGGGTGGAAGCAATCCTGCCCACCCGCCCAGCACCATGCAGCAGATGGAGCTGCTGGTCATCTGTAGGCCAGATCCAGTGACTTGGCGGCCAGCCACCTATGGGTCAGGTCAAATCTGTCAGTGGGTCATATGCGGGACGTTACCCCTGCCCTATTGATTCAAGTTAGGTCACTGAATGCCAGCATCCTAGCCTCCTTCATGCCCCCCTGGACCCCTTCCTTACAGGGAAGTGCACTTGCACTCGGCCTGTGCTTGGCTGCTCCAGCCAAGTATCCAGCAGGCCCCACCCCAAGCTTTCTCTGAGCTGAGCCAGTGTAAACCCTCTCCCTAGCCCCACCTTCTGCCTCTGGCTGTATGTCAGCTTCAGAGCCTGACCCAGGCCACACATCCAGGCAGAGAACCCCATGCCCCCATACTTGTGCTCAGGGATAGCCCCACAGAGCCTGACATTTCATTGAGTGACATTTCAGTGGCTAGATCCAGGCACTCTGCCACCCAGACCCCAGCATGACCCCCCCCCCCGATCAGGAGCCTGTGTAGGCAGCTCACCTCTGGTGGGTTGGGGTGGCAGGGGGCAGAACATCAGGACTGGGCCTCCATGGAGGCAACCTTGTGACCTCCATGATTTGGCCACTGCCCACAGTCTTTTTTCACTTGCAGCTACAGGGTCCCAGAGTACTAGGGCCAGAGAGGTATAGGGGGGCAGGGGGTTGGGGATGTGCTAAATTGTGCCTGGAAGCAAATCAAGGCATGTATTTTATTCTGGGGTGAATTATATGCAAGAAAACACAGTATTTGCCTAGCATGGAAGGCAGACAGCAGGCTCCAAGGCTTGACAGTTTGGTACACATGATGTTAATCTTTGATGCATAAAATATAGGGGACCCTTAGGGCTCTGAAAGGTTCCAATGGACTCCCCTACTCCTCAAAGAGAAAAAAGGAGTTTCAATGTGTCTGGGAAGCCAGTCAGGGCAGCTAAGTAGCACTGCCTTTCCTCCATTAACCATGTGCTCGTGCATGGGGCAACTTCTTTGCATCCCTTTATCTCATAACTAAATTGTCTGGTGGTGCCACTTGTACATGATTCGCACATGTCCTCATGCATGATATAAGCATGCCTTGGTACCTAACGTAACTTTGATTAACCCTTAATTATTCAGAGTATCAATATAGCTTCTTATCTGGTCTTTTGAACCTTGTCCCCTATCCAAGGACTCAGACTACTCCTTTTATCATGTAGTCAGTCTTTCTTGAGACTCTGGCTCTTGAATCGTATGGAATCCCATCCTCTGTGCTATCGGTATTGTCCCAGAGCCTTCACTGGTTAAGGGGATGGGCAAGGAGGAGGACTAGATCTGTCTACTTATACAGCCTTAAAACCAGGTCCTGTAACCACAATGCCAAACATAATCTGAAATATTAGTTTTCGATTGTGAGGCATTCTTGTATGGCATCTAGGAGGTTCTAAAATTGTTCCTCAACATCACTAAGGATGTGGAGTTTATTATATGTATATATCAGGGATAAATTAGAGATATATTAACCAGTTAATTTATTAATCTGCACATTGGAGAGGTACACCTTTATGGGCAAAGCTTGAGCAGATATTTTAGGGATGACAAAGGAGAAAAGTATTCTCAGTGCTTCCCTGAGCAAACTTTTCTTTTTCCATGGTATATTTTGTGCTGTCAGACTCATAAACATCAGTGCCTACTCCCTTTAAAATCAATCAATTCTTTTTGATTTAATATTACCAAGATGTGGCCACTTTAGTTTATTCTTGAATTATCCAGTAGAAATGGGTGTAAACTACTGACTTCAACAGGAGAGAAGACCAGATTGTGGTTTAAACGTTTATCCCTTTTCTCACAGTATATTAGGAAGAGGATTCACAAATTAAAAGGCAACAAACTTAAAATGAATGAAAAGGCATGCTTCTTTGTGCTACATGCAGGGTGAATCTACACAAGACATTTACTGCGGAACTGCCTAATTAGCTCTGCAGTAAAGTTTCAGTGTCTACATGTGCAGCCCCATTAAGCCACAGGAAACTTATTAACTGCTTGATCGCTAGCCCTGCACTGAAGCACCCTCATGTCCCAGCCAGCCCTTCTGCAGCATGTTAAGCTGGGTTTGAGCAGCCCCAGGCTGGCAGGCTGATACCCTGAGCCCCCTGCCAGCTGGTGCTGCTCCAACCCAGCTCAATGTGCTGTGGTCACTCATGCACATGTAAATGTGGCGCTTGGGAGCAATAAACTCTGGCACTATATGTGCTAGTTTATTGCATTGCATTAATTTCATGTGTAGATGCACCCAATGATTTTTAAGTTCACAGAGCTTCAGGCCAGGTGGGACAACTGAATCACTTACTCAGGCACCCTATTTCTCCCAAACAACTAAGTTTTAGCCAGTAACCTCTGTATTTAAGCTCAATAACTTGTGTTTGGGTAAAGCACATGTAGTTAGTCTATGGAACTCACAGCTATAGAATATTATTAAGTAAACTTCAGTAAAATTGAAAAAAAAAGGTATATATGGAAGTAAATATCTTAACCATGAACAAGCCAGTTTGGAACAAATTGGAGAAAGTTGTGGTCATAAAACTGACTATTAGCAAAGGTCAGGCTGTCCCTTCATGGTGTAACAAGAAAATTTTGGGTTTATGGAAAATTTAAATTTTCTGAAGAATCTTACACTGGCCATCATCTGAGACAGTTTTCCAGCAAGTTTATAATGGATAAATGACTATTGTATTAAATCATCTCTGTTTTATCCTGTTTTATCCTATTGGATCAAAATGTTATTACTTACCTTTATTAAATCTCCTTGGACCAAAAGCTCAGCTCAAAAACTGAACTAACATTTTAACATTCATAGAAACTAGATGCATGGAAATTTAACCAAACAGTAGTCCAGTATAGAGCATTGAAACAAGTCAAGTTGTCATACTGGAAATAAATCCTTTAAGGTCCCAACAAAATATACAATTGAGTTGTGATTAGAGTTAGACTTTAGCCTGATTTCTGGATCCAAGCAGACCTGAAGTTTTGGGGGATGGAAGGGAATTTCAAATTTAAATCTATATACATATACATATATATTCCCCAAGTACTTGGCTAACAGGTGAAATTCAAACCTGGAATACAGATATTCAAAAACTCTGTAAATGTGAACCTGAGTCACTGAGGTATTTTGGCACATGACCCCCCCATACCTCCCCTACCAGTCGCCTATGTTCTAAACCTATGACCATTTTCAAGGACCTGATCCAGGATTAATTTAAACAGATTGATGGATTTCAATTAACTTTAGTGGGGATAGGATCAAGACTTTAATTTTAATACAGTAGTTGCTATATAGTAAGTAAATATCTACAGCACTTAGAAACACACTCCTCAGAGATTAACTACTATCTGATAGAAACCAGTTACTTACATACAATAGTTTTTAAAAATGCATTTCTAAGAACCATCTGACACACCAAAAACATATAGTTAATGACCCTATTAACTACCTTTTTCTTTGATCAACTAATAAACATGGTATTTATTAAATAAATACTATTTCATCCTTAAGCACATTACCTGAGGACCAACAACAGAGAAATTTGCATTATTGAATGCACCCTAACTCGCTGCAGGTGAGCTGGGCAGTGCAGGGAGCAAAATGTGAGGGGGTCCAGTGGACGATGCAACTATCTTGGTGCAGTTGACCTGGGGGGAAACATACTCTGCAATGATTTTTACTGATTTAAAGGATTTGATCCTGCTCCCATTGAGTTCAAGGGCAAAGTTCTCAATAGTTCAGTATCAAGACCTTTACAAAAAATCTAGCATGTGGCTTCAAGTGGCTGCTGATAACTGCCATGCATTAAGAGTGGCATTAGGAGTGTAGAGGGCCCTGGCTTTGTAGATTCTGCTAAGGAGAAGAAGTTACAAACCTCCTCTTCTCCTGGATAGAGGTTAAGGCAAGAATGGACCATTAAAAGATTTAGTCTGAACATTCTCTATTATCACAGGCCACAGAGTTTCACCCAGTTCTATATGCACAGAGCCCGATAACTAGCTTGCCTATACCATATCTTCTATAAAGGCCTCCAATCTTGATCAGAAGACCTTAAAAAACAGAGAATCCACCACTTCCCTAGGAAATTTATTTCAATGACTGATCATCATTGGTGTTAAAAAAAGGAATTATTTTTTATTTCAATTTGCCTGGCTTCAGCTTTCATCTGTGGGTTCTTGCTATGTCATTCTCCACTGGGTTAAAAAACCTTTTAATATTTAGTACTTTTTTCTGTGAAGACACTTGCACATTGTAATCAGACCATTTTCATTTTTTTCTTGATCTGGCTCATGTGTGGTCTAAACCCTTTACCATGAATTTCTGAAGTTGGGTATGTAAAAAGCTCCATCCAGATTTTCAGAGGTGCTGAGATAGCCTTCCCTGATGTCAGTGGGACCTGCCAGTGCCCATTCGCTTCTGTAAATCAGTCTCTGGATTTAAGCTCCCAAATTTGGGAACTCCTGATGTGAGGCATTCACCTTTGAAAATAAATCATTGCACTAAGTTTTCATTTCCAGACTGAAAAGGAAAAGGATTGTTTGGGAACATTTATTTTTATTAATAGCTTTTGGTATGCAGTCAACATATTTTAGGTATTTTGCACTGCCCATTTTATAAAGTTTTGGGACAGTGATCTAAAAGTTTAAATTAAAAATGGGCTAGGCTTTTGAAGCCTAATCAAGCTCATATATTTGTTTTCCTGCTAGATCTAGGATAAATCTTTCCACCCAATAGGAAGTTCTTTTGTTTTAACTTTCTGTGTCAAGGAGCCAATTAATTCAAACTTCCCCCAGTGCCCACTGGTCCAGTTGTCATTAGCCCTTTCTTCTGAAAGGACTCATTTCCATCACTCCATGTCATCCATGAATGGGAAATTAATCAGCACCATTAGAGAGAAAACTCCCACTTGAATTGCAGGATCCTTTTCTCTCCTATCGGCTGATTGTGATTTCATACCTTTTATGTAAAGCAGACTTTCAGAGCTGTTACCTATTTAAGGAATTTTTCAATTAACATTTTTTTCCCTCAAGAGTGACCAGGGTCTTTCGATCCCACCACAAAGGCTTGGCTTACTTTTCATATAACTCTCTGCTCAGCTCAGTTCCTTCATCCTGAAGGCCTTTTATTTGGCAGTGATAATTTAGTTCAAACCCTCACCAATCAATAGCTGATCAATGCACAGCAGGAGAGATTTTCTATTTAAAATCCATTACACTTCAAGGGACTAAAATTTTCTCATTTGAACAAAAAGTGCTTCAGCCTTATTTAAAATCTGTCTAATTGGCACTTGCTTAAAAACAAAAACAAACCTAAAAGGGGAGAAAGCTTCATGCTATTTTTAAAGCAGAAACCTGTGTTAAGGGTTGATCCTGCAAAGCAATGAGGTGCTTCAACTCCCATTGAACGCAGCCTCTCAGGAAACACTCAGCACCTGACAAGATTGGGCCCTAACATTAAAGTGCATTTGACAAAAAAGACATTATTTATTTCTAAACGATTAAGCTCTGATTGGATCGGTTTTCTTTTAGTACGGCACATTATCACGTGCCATTATTATTGATGGCTATTAGAATATACTTTTTCTTCCTTAAGTGCAAAGTGATGTGTAGATGCTTCTGTCCATCTATCATTCTTTATATTTTCCTGAATAACAGAAGCCAGAGTCACAGGGAATGAACACCCACAGCTGGAGAATGATAGTTTCGATATGAACCACAATGTAAAAGCTTATGGTAAAAATTAGCCTGAATTTTCCTACAAACGGAGCCTGATCTGGCATCACTGAAGTCAAAGCCACCATTGATTTTAGTGGAAGCAGGATTGTGCCTGTGCCCATTAGGGCTCAAATTTTGCAGTGCTTATTTAGGCAAAATCCCTCAGCTTTCATTGTCCTCTGAGCAACATTTGCAGTATTAGGCCAATATTGTCTCACTACAGATATTAGGGCTCGATGCTGTTCCATAGCAGTCAGTTGCAAACCTCCCATTTCTATAGGAACAAGATGGGACCCTTGTATCAGTAACATGCCTATGGGAGGGTGACCACAGGGCAACAACCTCTGGTGCTCTCCTGGGAGGGGTGGGGGAAAAGCTTCGGAAAACTTCAGAGCCGCTTCGGAGATCCAGCCATGGGGTATAATGGAGAATCAATTAAATATCTATAACTTTGTTGTTTTTTGTCTGCTTTGGATGAAAGTTGCAGGGATGGTAGCCTCTGCTGAGAGCATGAAGCCTTCTAAGTGTCAAGAAGATCAGTGCAGGGGTTCGGGGGGAACTGCACCCCAAATTCTTGAAAGCAAAACTCATGTCACGTCTATGTGTTACACTGCAGGGGGGTAAAAATTGCAGGGGTGGTATCCCTGGTGAGGCCATGAAGGAGATAGGTGCAGGGGGAGTCTGGCTTCTGGGGCCCTGCACCTCTGGCTGCTGACAGGCAAAACTCATGACATGGGTGCTTGTGCAACTGACTGTCTCTGTCTTGGGGCAGTTGATTGTCTGTATTGATTAATTCCTCTCCTTAGTCTGTGGTTTTGTAGGTGTTAATCCATGCTCGTTAACTCATTATGCAGTAGCTAGGTACTGTGTATTGAGCTGGTCCCTGAGTGAAATCATGATTAACTGGTAGCTGGTAACACAGTAGCTTAGCAGCCAGGCCTGCAGTAGTCCCCCCTCCCCCGTGCCTCAAGACAGACACAGTTGCACAAGCACCCATGTCATGAGTTTTCCCTGTCAGCAGGTAGGGGTGCAGGGACCCAGAACCCCCCTGTACCAATCTCCTTGACAGCTGGCAGGCTTCATAGCTGCAGCAGGGGCCACTACCCCTGCAGCTTTCACCCTGCTATGCTTTAACACACACAGTGTCACCCAGGTCATGAGTTTTGCTTCTCTGCAGCTTGAGGTGTAGTTTACCCCAAACCCTTGCTTCTATCACCTTGAAACTTGGCATGCTTTGTGGCCTCATGAGGAGCTACCATCTCTACATTTTTGATGCCACTGTGGCTTAACACATAGACGTGACATGGGTTTTGCTTTCAAGGATTTGGTGTGTAGTTTTCCTCTAACCCCCACACCTATTACCTTGAAACTTGGCAGACTTTGTGGCCTAAGCAGGGGACATCAGACCTGCAGTTTTCACCCCCCTGTGATATAACATGTACATGTGACATGAGTTTTGCTTTCAAGAATTTGGGGTGCAGTTTCCCCCGAACCCCTTCACTGATATCCTTGAAACTAGGCAGACTTCATGCTCTTCAGAGGGGCTACTACCCCTGCAAGTTTTATCCAAATCAGACAAAAACCAACAAAGTTATAGATATTTGATTGATTCCCCATTATACCCTATGGCCGGATCTCCAAGGCAGCTCTGAAGCTTCGGAGCCCTTTGGCCGGATCGAGGCAGAAACCCAGTCTGGACTTCTGGCTCAGAGTGCTGGCATCCAAAGCGGCCGGATCCGAAGCCGGATCGAATAGCTGCCTACTCGCACAGAACTGGTAATTATAGGCCAGTTAGTCTCACCTCTATCCTTGGGAAAACCTTTGAAAAGTTAACAAGGATCACATGTGTGATTATGACCAGATCAGAAAATGCTTAGATGCAGGAGTCGAGGTAGATGTCATCTATTTGGATTTTAAGAAGGCCTTTGATACAGTATCTCACCCTATTCCCATAAACAAACTGAGTGGCTGTGACATAGATGATTACACGGTCAGGTGGGTGGCAAATTGGCTTAAGGAGTGCACCCAGAGAGTGGTGGTGGATGGGTTGGTATTGACTTGGAAAAATGTGGGCAGTGGGGTCTTCCAAGGCTCAGTCCTTGGACCTGTGCTATTCAGTGTCTTCATCAGCAACTTGGATGAGGGCATGGAGAGCACTCTGTCGAAATTCGTGGATGATATGAAATTATGGGCTACAGTAAACATGTGAGTGGGAAGGGATCAGATCCAGGTAGACCTGGATAGGTTGGAAAAGTGGGCAGAAAAGAATAGGATGCAGTTCAACAAAGACAAGTGCAAAGTGCTGCATCTAGGGAGAAGGGATCACCAACACATCTATAGGCTAGGGGATGACCTTCTCAGCAGCACAGCGGCAGAAAGGGATCTCAGAGTCATAGTTGACTCCAAGATGAATATGAGCCATCAATGTGATGAAGTTATCAGTAAAGCTAAGCACGCTGTATCATGCATTAGCAGGTGTATCATGAACAGGTCCAGGGAAGTGATACTTCCTCTCTATGTGGCATTGGTAAGGCCACAGTTGGAGTACTGCACCCAGTTCTGGGTACTGCACTTCAAGAGGGATGTGATAACTTCGAGAGGGTTCAGAAGAGGGCCATTCGTATGGTTAGGGGCCTGCAGGTAAGGCCCTACGAGGAGAGACAGAGGGACCTAGATCTCTTCAACCTCCAGAAAAGAAGGCTGAGACGGGATCTTGTGGCTGTTTACAAATTCATCGGGGGGCGGGGGGGGCAGCAAGACATAGGAGATGCTCTGTTTACCAGGGCACCCCTTGGAACAAAGGCCACAAACTGACAGAGAGCAGATTTAGGCTGGACATTAGAAAGAACTTCTTCACAGTCAGGGTTGCCAGAATCTGGAATGGGCTTCCAAGGGAGGTGGTGCTCTCCCCTACCTCGGGGGTCTTCAACAGGAGACTGGACAAGCATCTGGCTGGGGTCGTTTGACCCCAGCACTCTTTCCTGCCCAGGGCAGGGGGTCAGACTCGATGACCTACTGAGGTCCCTTCCGACCCTAACAACTATGAAACTATGAAGATGGAAACTCCCTCCACACTTTCACCTCATCCACCTGAGCAGGGGCTAGCCAGAATTTGACTCCGTATTCCTGACATTTTATCAGTTATTTTAAGCTTGATTCTGGTACCTTTCATTTGATTGAGTGAAATTCATGCCCTTTGGAGATGGTCCATGTAGTGTTTTTGCACCATTTAAGGGCCACTTAAATCCTGGTGAAAGGGCTCAAGTGGTAACATGGACTTTATTCTGGTCCTCTGTGTAGGACTTTCTCATTTTGTTTCATCCCAAGAACCCTAATTTCTCAGACATCAATACACGAACGAGCTTCCTGAGTCTCTGTAATCTAACATGGAGAATAAATACTAACGGATACCCTGACACCTGATTAATAACTAATATCCCTCCTCCTCAGCACATTGTTTCCTGACACATGGTAGTTTTAAACAGCAAGGAAAGAAGGTGCTATGATATATGAGCTGTCAGATCCTTGTAGGGAGGGCAGCTAAAACAGCTATTTTCTGATCAAAACAGAAGAGTAGAACTCAACAAAATATTCCTCACTGAAATGTTGTTTAATGAAAAAAATGCCCTTAAAAAGATATTTGTGAAAATGAGGGTCATTGTTGGCATTTCCTGGTTTTTGCAAAGTTTTCTCCAGCATTTTTATTGAAATTATTTCTGAATGTTTTTTGTTCACAAAGAAGTGTAAATTCTTATTGAAAATGGGTTTTCAATAACCAAACTTTCTACAGTTATTTCAAAAACCACGTCTCTTCAAATTTCTTTTAACCATTTGGCAAAAAATGTTAATGAAAAATATGGAAATATTTTGCATATAAGACCCAAGCTTTGACATTTTTCTAAGTGGTCTGTTTAAATATAAGTAAGGCTTCGTTAGCTGAAATGAGTATGGTTACAAGCACATTTAATATTAAGTTGTGTAACATGCTGAGATTTTTCCTTAAATGAAATGTCTGTTTCACTACTTGGCTGGTCTTTACAAAGAATGAGCACAGTGATTCTCGGAAGCCGTGTTACACAATCTTATTTAAATGTAAATAATAAAACCTGTATGACACAATAAAGATTTACGCTTTGGATGAATGAGGTGGTTATTCATCATAGCATTTCCTACGCCCTCAAGTTTGGGATTTCTTAGGTCTCCTTCCTCTAAAGATATTCCCCTAGGGCCAATATGACCCATACTGCTGTCTGCCCCAATTTTGTAATGCTTCTGTGTTCTCTTGCATATTATCTTAGGAACAATTCTAAGGTTGTAATGAAAATAACAGAACAGTTATGGAGCTAATTTTCAAACAATATTTGATAACATGTAGGAAAGATTAAAGGAGAGCTTACTTACTCATTAAGGACTTTATCTTATTTGTCCAACCAGCAGCCCATGTGCTACATGTATGAACAAAAGAACATAAATACCATACTGGGTCAGACCAATGGTCCATCAAGCCCAGTATCCTATTTCCAACAGTGGCAGATGTGGATCCTATAGAGGGAGAGCACTGAACTAGATATACTTAGAGTGATCTACCTGCTAATTCAATACCCTCCCTGGTATCCACCATTTATTGGGTTTGAGATAACAAAGGAAACATCTACAACCATTCTGTTCAGTAGCCATTAATAGATCTATCCTCTGTGAATTTATCCAGTCCTTTTTTGAACCTGTCTATGATATTGGCTTCCACCATCTCCTGTGGCAATGAATTCCACAAGTTAACTACATTTGCATAAAAAGTATTTTCACATTAGTTTTAAACCTGTCACCTACTACTTTCAGTGGGTGTACCCTAGTTCTGGTATTCTGGGATTTGGGGGACAACAGTTCCCTGTTTACTTAGTCCACACCTTTCATGATTTATAAACCTCTATAATACTCCCATCATCCTTCTTTCCAAACTGGAGTCTTAGCATTTTTAGTCCGCCCCGATCATTTTGTTTGTTCTTCTCTGTACCTTACTGTCCTTCCCTGTGCATTATTGTACCTTCTCTGTGGTCCATGAGGAGCTAGCATGCAGGCTGGGGGACCCTGCAGCTGCCTCTGTTATAGACCCTTGCTCAGGGGAGCAACAACACCATTGCCTTCAATAGAACTATTAGCATGGCTAAGAGCTTGTGTGACATACGGTCTGCAGGATCTCTCATCTTGGTTACACAGTTTTGAATATTCAGACTTGAACCGCCAGTTGGGTCTTATACAGAGCTGGACCTGGGCTATTAAGCTTGAGGTTAATCTCCAGTTTTCCAGTTCTCAGCTGTCTCTTTGAAAAGCAATGCTGAAACATAATCCAACACACAAGGTAAAACCAGAAAATGTGGGAAATGCAAGAAATTCAACTCTCATCAAACTTCTGGATCAGTCTGCAGTAATCATGGGGTTCATCAAAATGCAGACACATTAAAGGTAAGCATCAGAACTTTATCTAAGCTGAAGTGAGCCTCCCAGCCTTTTCATGCTCACCCATCCCCAAGTGTCATTTCTGTAATGCACGGTGTGAAAAGCTGCATACTGAAATTGCCAACACACTCACTCTGCTCATTAATTATTTTTTCTGACCTGATTCTGATTTGCCCTAAACTCACAGCAAGGCCACTCATCCCATCACGGTGGCATCCAGGAATACTTTGTACCAGCAGGAAGTTGAGCTGCACAGGGAAGCCATTTAAGTGAGAATATGGGCAAACAAGAATGCTGTTTTCACAATGCATTGCATTGTGCCAGTTCTTGAGCAATTTACACAGGAAACAAGACTGCAAGAGTTGTAATTTTAGGACTCTCTTTCTTTCCCATGATACTTCCTCATTCATTAGATTAGATTTAAGGACAGAACAATAGATGGTATTTCATTTCTTCTGCAGAAACCTTCTATCTTCTTTCCAGTTCCAGTTTGCTATTACATCAGTGAGCTTTTAGGACTGTTGACATTGCTAGGAATCCTGTATTTTAATAACTACAGAAACTGGTGACTATCGCCTGTGTGCCTTCTTGTTTCCTATATGTTAAGACAATCCCAAAGAATTAATAAACATCTTTTGCAAACTATAAAAAAGAGATAAATAACAATAGGAAATGGTATTTATTTAGTAAGGCCATGATTTCTGGCACTCTTACTCATGCTGAGTAGCACCTTACCTCACAAGTAACGCTATTGACTTTAATAGACACACAGGGCACAATACTATTCAATGGCAGTAATGGAATGGCTCTACGGGGTAGCTCAAAATAGACATCATTTAACAAACTAAAGTCCTTTCCCTTCCTGAAACCAGCCTCTTGTTTTTGACACTAAGCTTTAATTTTCATTGTTTCTTCCCATTGACACTTTTATTTTCTCTCCTTTTCTTCCTACTCCATCTTAATTCAGCCTCCTTATTTCTTTAAGCCATGGGTTGTGTCTCGTTTGTCTTTTTCGTTGCCTATTTCCTCTCTCTTATTTATTTAAACCATTCCCTTGTTCGTTTGCTTTCATTTTCTTTCTGTCTCTACCCCCCCGTTTGAGTGTTAGTCTCTCTGTTGTTTTTTTCTGTGTGGGTGTGAGCACATTCTCCTGCCCTTATCAGTTCTCTGTCCCTTTCTCTACAACATCTGAGTGGATGCTGGAATGATCTTTAGCCAGAATCTCCCTGGGGGTCTCTGTCCCAGGCTCCAGAGCTCCTGAAATGAGATGGAAAAAGAGAGACACCCTGGCAGCAGCTTGTCCCTAATGGCCAGATGGCCAGCACTCCCATTAATACAATATCAAGCATTGCTGTAGTTCTGCCTTGGAAACTGCTTGCCTGTGCTGGCATCTTCTCACACTCCTCTGACAGCCATGCCAGTCCCAGCACCCTCTTGGGAAAGAAAAATGGAAATGACCGTATAAATACTTTGAATTCAAGCTGCTGTGCAATGAGAGAGCCATCTAATATTTTCACACGTGAATGTTTATGTTATCCACCCACAGCTTTAATTATACATTAGCCCTTCCTGAATGTCTTGCTGATATTTAATTCGGCTCTGTTACAGACTGGGACTGATGTTTTTGAATTTATCCTTGCTTTCATGTGTACATCCTCTCACACTGTGCTTGGTTGGGTGGGAGGCAAAGCAGCACTGCGCTCATCAGAGTGAGAAGAAGCCAGCTATCTACAAAGGAATAATCAGTCATTAATATTCGGAACTGGAGGGTTGGATGGGGGACATTTTTTTTCTTGATCTTGTAATGCCATGTGGCTTGGCTTTGTTTTATGGCATTCCCAGAAAAACACAAATGTGAAACAGAATGTTTCACAACTGATTGTAGAATCATTGATGGTAGAGCCAGAGCGAAGCAATCAGGCTGGTTTAGAGTTATGATCCTCCTTCTTTCCCCCACTTCATACCACCACCACTATAGGATTCTACTTGTTTTATTTGCAGGATGGGCCATGAACATCGCATGCCTCCTGAGGCTGGGGGGGGACAGTGACTGCCTGCAGGCAGGAGCGGCAGGGGCATGGTGGCAGTGAGCGGGGAGCTCCCACAGGCGGCTGTGGCTGCATTAGTGGCAAGCGGAGGGGTGTTGAACGCTGACAGCCAGTTGGCAACCACCCGCAGATGCCGCCGGCAGTGTTGGCAGCAGCCAGAAGTGATCAGCGACTGCCCACAGATGCCACTGGTGGGGCTGGCAGTGAGAAGGGTGGCGAGTGGAGATCACCTGCAGGCGAAGCCAGCAGCGTTGGCAGCGGCCAATCTCAGGGGGTGCACATGCACCCCCTATGTGTCGTAAATGGGATGGGCCCTGTGACAGAATAATTCCTCCTGGACACACAGGGGCTAGGGACAGAAGTTACATATAAACCAGGTTTAAGTGATCACAAACTGGTTTAGACCTGTGACAGAACAGATGTTCAGTGCACATAAGCCAGTTTCAAAATGGCTGAAACTGGTTTAAGATAAACCTGGTTGAATGTAGTATCAGATTTAACTAATTTGGGTCAAACTGGTTTATGAAACCTCTGGCCCAGACCCCTTCCTGGTTCAAGTTAAATCACAGGCCCCCAGCATCCCAGCATGCTTTCCAGCCCTGAGCTGGGTTGTGCTGTCTGCTCCAGAGAGCAGGGTTGGCCCCATCCTGCTGCTCTCCAGCTGGAGCAGTGAGGGCTGGCTGGCAAGGGGCTTGGGGAAGGGCAAGCGCAGCAGGGGCTGCAGCCCAGTCTAGGGGGGAGGGGGGTAGAGGACTGACTCCCTCAGGCAAACCCCATCTGGGGACTGGGGCCAGGGTGCAGGGTTAAACATCCCTTCTCCAGCTCAAATTTACTGCTGGCTGCAACTGTGGACTACAAATCCCAGAGGCACCTGGAAGCAGGAAGTGATGAACAACCCTGCAGAGTCCTACTGCTCTAATTCTGGACTGCAAACCCCAGAGACCTGGGGGCAGCAGAAAGATGAAGTGAACACACAGCCAGAGAGCCATGCTGTAGCGCCCCCCAGCTTCTGGCCTGAGCCACTGTAGGCATGTGGCTGCATTCCCTCAATCACAGGTAAATGTCTGTTCATTTCTGTTTCAATTTACTCTGTGAAGCTTAAACTAACCTGCAAAGTCTAAATTGATTCAGCCTTGGGCTTTTTGACTGTCTGTTCCTGGCCAGTGTGTTCAGGAAATGTGGTGTCTCATGAAACAGTCTGGGTGAGGTCAGCAAGATCTTCTGGCTGGCAGAAAAGCAGGAGGCCAGCCACAAGACAGTTGCAAGGGCAGTAGTAAAACTGTTACCTCTGTACTATAAATAGTTGTATATAAGTTTTTGTAAATAATAAAGAGTTTTTTTTATATCACAAGCCTCCAGATGCTACATGGTACCAGGAGTGGAAGCTACAGCATGCTGGAAGACCCAGTGAAAGAGATAACAGAAATGGCTACTACAGAGCCTGTGACAATGCAAGTAACCCCCTCACAGCCCTTCACATACAGAGTATACTGTATCAGGCCCCTCAAGCATCTGGAGCACCTGCCAAGGGTGGGTGGAGAGTATGGACAGTTCTGGCTGTCTCTGCTCTCCTGCCACCAGCAAACAGACATCCACTTCAATAAATACTACCTTTGTCACCATCACAAGTTTTGGACACTTGTGGCACAACAAAGGTTACGGATATCTGTTTGCTTCACCTTTGTGCCACCATACACTTTTCTACGATGCACAAAGGTAAGGAAAGATGACAACCGTTTCTACCCATAGTGAGGGACCTGACAGTAGAAAACATAATACGTATATACCAAGTTGCCAAACAAGCAGAAAAAAGTGTAAGGGAGGACAGACAAGAGAGGACTATAAAAAGTGTAGAAGAAGACACACAAGAGAGGACTCTAAGTGCAATCACTAAACCAGTAAAAGAAACCTCTTAAAAAATTAAGCTGAACAAGCACAGTCATGTGCAAAGCAATAAACAAATTGTGGCAACCCATATGGGTATAGAAAGTCCCTATCATCTGAGCAAATATGCAGAAGTTGTAATAAACTGAGCCATTATGCTAAAATGTGCAGAGAAAT